GTCTTTTGTACCTCTTTACGAAAGGGACGTCGATCTTTACAAAATTGTCATCCTCCGGGTTACCTTCTAAACAGTGGCAGTTTAAAACGTCCACTCATCAAGTGTGATGGCTGCTAAATCTTCACTTGCAGCCGCAGTGGCATTTTCTTGGTCTACAAGGAAAATCAAAGTCTAAATACTCAGCTTTCCAACCTTATCATGCGACATCAATTGCTATTTCATCAGTGGCCGCCTACCTCCGCTAGCTTCCCTAGTTATTCCAAGCATCCTAACATCAGTAGGCACATTCTCTATACCATTCTTCACACAATTCCTATGCCACTGACAAGGAGAATTTGTTTCACAATCAATAGCTTCTTAAGTCAGTGATCACTTCCTTTATTCTCCTGAGTTAAATGTGTGATTCAGGGATGATGTTGTAAGGAGAAATCATCATCATCATCATCATCATCATCATCATCATCATCATCATCATCTTTATTTGCCTTATTTTAACAATTAAAAAATAGTTAATTACAGCGATAACAGTTAGAAGGCGAGGAGACCCAAGAAGCCACCAGGCTTATGGGAGAGCCACCTCACTTACAATAATAAATTAAGTAAAGAAAAAGTGCTGCGAATGTGCGGCTTGGCCAATTCAGTGATTATTTAAGTAAAAACTCTTGCAATTTCGCTTTAAAGCTGAGAAAGTTTGACGAACGAGTGACTGAAATAGGGAGAGAGTTCCAAATTTTAAGACTTTGGTAGAGAATTGTAAACTGCTTGACATTTGTACGGCACAAATGCGTTCGATAATTACTGGCTGTTCTGATACCACAGTTGTGAATTTGGCTATTCCTTACAAAATTCTGTCTAGGTAGCTGGAGATAAGTTTGGTAGGGCAACTGCAAGCCGAGGTAATGGGCCGACCCGGGTTATCAGGTTTGTGAATTTTAGGTAAAAAGTAAATACAAGAAGTTCAAGGAGTGGTTATGATGAGATTTTTTGCTGTGGCCGGCAATTCGTGTTTAGTTATGAGTTGGTTGATCGTATTCTTGACGGTGTTTTTATTGCTGGCAGTGAGGTCTTTGTCGACTTTTTGATAAAAAGAAGTGTCAGAGAGTTGCCACAAAGCCTCTTGTTGGTAGAGGTCGGTGCGCCAAACAACGACTGAGCCGCCCTTATCGGCCGTCTTGATAACTGTGTGTTTGCCTTTTCTAAGGCTTTTTAGAGCTGATCGCTCTTCAGAAGAGAGACTGGGAAAAGGGAGATTCCGACCGAATTCCATTCACTCTCACGTTTCACCCTCACAACCACTCAGTTAAATCCATCATTCTTAAAAACTTTAAATTACTTTTATTTTGATCACCACTATAGTATTGATCAAATCAAAAAAATTATGATGGAAAACAAACTTGAAAGCTCATTATTTAGTTTTCAGCCAGTGTCTACCAAGTATGTCCTATAACTGTTAATTGATCTAAATAGTTCAAAAGCCACAGGAACAGACAATATTGCACTAAGATTGTTAAAAGTATCCGCGCCTGCCTTAGCAACCCCGATAATCCGACTGGTAAACTACTGCATTGAACAATCGTACTGGATCGATAAATGGAAAGAAAGTAACATCACTCCTGTTTTTAAGAAGGATAGTGAGGCTAATAAATCTAACTACCGTCCAATCTCAATTTTACCTAGTATTTCGAAAATCTTTGAAAGAGTTATGTATATTCAGCTGTATAATTACTTTGTACCACATTTACTCTCTGATAGTCTGTCAGGATTCCTTAAAAGTCATTCAACCTGTTCAGCCCTATTAAAGATTACTGAAGATTGGAGAACAGCTTTGGATGAGAATCAAATCGTATCTGTAGTATCAATCGATCTTAGCAAGGCTTTTGCTAAGATCTGCCATCGCCTATTACTAAGAAAACTCAAATAGTATGGCGTTTCTACTCCATCTCTCAAGTTATTCTGCTCTTATCTCATCGGCCGACGTCAACGTGTCAAAGTGGAAAACATCTTCTCTGAATGGCGTACAGTACAATGTGGAGTACCGCAGGGGTCCCTGCTCGGACCCCTGTTCTTTAATATTCATATTAATGCTATTACCTTCATCACCAAAAACATGCAACTAAGACTCTACGCTGATGACACCACCTCCTACTGTTCAAGCAACTGCCTTACTGTCCTACAGTTATACACAAATGAGGACTTGTCTCTACTGGCTAAATTGCAACTACTTAAAAGTCAACTCAACCAAGACACAAGCCACGGTCCTTGGATCGTCAAATTACAACTTTGACCTATTATTGGACAATAGCAATATCGAAATAAAGGACGAACTCGAATTGCTTGGTGTGACAATTGACAGTAAGTTATCATATACTACTCATATTAAGAGTATCCTTAGTAAAATACCAAAGCTGGTGCTCTTAGAAGAATACGCAACTTTATCGATAGTAAAACTGCTATGAGAATATATAAGGCCAATATACTTCCTCATTTTGATTATTTTTCTCCTCTTTTTGTTGGGCTGTCAAGCACCTTATCTGATAAAATTGAACGTAAACATTTTTATATACTTGGAATATTATTTAAATTTCCTAAATCAATTGAGTATGCTGAGTTATTAAGTCAGCTTAATCTTGAATCTATCAAACAGAGACGATTGTCTCAATCGCTAGTTTTTATATTCAACAGATATCATAATGAAGGACCAATTTATATCAACAACTTATTTAAAATGAAACAGTGTAGATATAACCTTATGGGTAGTGGATCCCGTATGGATCAGCCAGCTCACAAATCTCGTTTTCAGCATCGGTCCTTATCTTATATTGTTTGTCGGTTGTGGAACAGCCTTCCTCAAGATGCCAGGGATGCCAAGAGCATAACTATCTTTAGAAATCAGTTAACAAAGTTAAATTTGGATACCGAAGTTAATTGCAAATGTACCTTCTGCGCTTGATTCACGCCCTCTGCGTTATTTCAATAATAGATTTTGTTAGCCCTTAGTCTGCAATATTTTAGCTTGTATATTTCGGGCATATAGCATGTATTTTTTTTTTGATATATATTTTCTCAAATTATTTATTCATTTATCATATTATAGTTTCTAATTACCTTATTTAATATACACGTACATTTTTGTAACGAGCATCTTGTTGCTCATCAAAGTTTCGTGTTTAAATAAAGTTATACTACTACTACTACTACTTCAAACGATCCAGAGACAAGCACTATCTTTTCGCAGCCTCTGCTCATTTCATTCAAACGCGACAAAAACATAGACAATTTTTTTGGTCGGAAGTTCTTTTCAGACTAATGACCAACTAGGTACTTTTAAATGCGCTCTTGCACGATGCAAAACGTATCCTTTCATTCACAACACCGAGAAAATATCGGGACCCAAACAATCCATTAAGATCACCGATCACTTCACGTGCACCTCCGCCAGTGTAATCTATTGCATAACTTGCACTTATTGCAAAAAGATTTACATCGGCGAAACAGGCAGAAGACTAGGTGACCCATTCCGAGAACACCTTCGCGACGTGGAGAGGAATGACAAGGATACATCGAAACCAGTCGCTAGACATTTTAATTTACCTAATCATTCTAAGCAACATATGGCAATCTGCGGTCTTTCCTTACACTTAGGTAGCACGGAAAGCCGTAAAACTCTTGAACAAAAGCTCATCTTTCAAACCGGCAGTCTAAATCCCACAGGTATCAACGAACGCTTTTCATTCCACTAATTTATTCGTGTTTTTCTCGTTGCCATGTTCCCACCAATAACGTAGCTCTATTTTCTGCCTTTAAAAGCACACACAACCCACAATTCCTCTATTCGCTCCGACGAACAGCTAACTCTCGAAACGTCAGCTTTTACAATCCTAACGGTGGCCAATTTACTATTTCAACGTTGTTGATATATTCAAATTACCTTTGAATAAACTTATTAAGATAACTTTTCAAGCTTCCAGCTTTACTCCGAAATTTCAATAACATAGCTGGCACTTTCCGAGTAACTACTTCTCGTTAGTTTTGAACTAAGCGTACTTATCCTGTGGAGTATACGCATTAAGGCATCTATGTCATCAGATTGGGGTGGTAGATTTATCCAAATATACCTAAATTATATGCGAAAAACCTTTGTAATTCTGCAATTCATCTTATTACAGGTCCGTTTCATTCGTGTGCAGAAATTTACAAAAGGCAAAGGTACATCAAATTTGATGATTTATTTTTAAGCTTAAGGTTAGGGTTAAGTTCGGAAGACCCTAAACAAAGGTGCAACATTGTATCTGTTTGTGCAAAAAAAACAGTTCACTTTTGATTTGCAAAATCTTTCTTTGATGTTCAAACGAAAATGTTGCCATTACAGAACGAACAAGCTATGTTAGGTGCTTTGCAAGAATTATTTACGACAAACATGATATATTTTCTCGTTTCCTGGATGAATCTGTCAAAGTTCCCTGCACGAGCCTTCTTTACTAATTTTTTCAGTTTTGCATCATTTCTCAGAAATCAGGCTACCAAGGTTCAAATACCAACCATAACTCGGGCCAGAAAAAGCCGCACAGCTCTGCGGTTTGTGAGTTAATCAGCAAAAGGAAGAAAAACTTAGGAAAGAACGACGCTCGGTCCGTACGCCATGATCTCGAGCCAACCATTTTCCCGCATGGCCCTACCAACTAGTTTATAGGAATATAGTTATTACTCCGCGTAATCAAAAGTAAATTAATAAATAAATGAACACGTAGGCTTACCATCAGGTCACAGGAGAATAATGCTTATCAACTTCTGGTGGATCATAGGAAGGTCAACGTTTACTGTCACATGACTGATGACCTTAAAGGCTGCGGGGGCGGTGGATGGACGATGGTAATGAAAATGGACGGCAGAAAGGTATCTTGTCTCTCGTCACTATTACTCGTGAGTCAAATGCTCTAGTTAAAAGAGAAAATTGGACATTTGACTTTTTGATGAAAGGAGATATCATCACTATGCGGGGAAACTATCTCCTAATCTCTAAAAATTTCATACCTTTTACCACCTCCAGAACTGAACCTTCTACATTACGTCGCCTTAGAGGGATCATCTTCCTCAGACTGTAGATTAAACAGGGGGAAGATGTTTTTAAGAAAGGCAAAGAAACTCTTTCGAGCTCTAAGTAGAAGGCTTAAAAAAAAGATTACACTTCCTTTTTTTTCGAGATTATTCGAAACGCAAATGCGAAAAGGCGTAAAAATACAGTTAAGTTACCGGTTCGCACAGGTATCTTTGAGATTATTTACAACGTAGGTGTAATAAAACTTCTTTGGCCACGGGTTGGCTCACAGTGCTCCCAATATCCACTCTTTTCAGAACAATTATTGTGTACATTTATTCCTCCCTCTTCTTTCCTTGGTTAAAATACTTTCGGCAGTACTCTGTTTCCACTTTTTTTAGAAGCATCGAGACTTTCTGTAAATTCCATTCTGATACCATCCTGAACGACAGTAAAGTTACGACTGAAACGTTTAACATGCAGAAGCATCGACTTCATGGAAGACACTTTACCTTTTTCAATCTTCCTTACCTTGAAAGGGTGACGTGAATAAGGCCAATCCCCCAAATATTGCCGCGTCAACTAAGCGTGGACCTGCAAAGCCTTAAAGAAAAAATTCCTAATCGATCTCAGGAGATTATTATTCTAGCCCGGCTAAATCCGTAACCTTCATATTAACAACCCGAAAGAACGATTCACGATTCAACAAAAGTAGCCGATTCTACTCGCTTTAGTTTTTATCTGCATATGAATTCAGTTATCATCAATGCATTTCCTCTTTTCCATCTACATAGTCAACCTTCCACTTTGATTCGCAACTCTGGAGCAACATGAATGACTTCAATCCTCAAGGAGGGGAGACTGGGCTTGACTCACAAGAGACCAAGCTACCGACCTATTGGAACACATCTTTCTCCAAGATCTGCTTAGGGATGAAGATCGGAAATCTGTCCAGGTTCATTCTCATCAAAAAGCAAGCCAGCTCTTTACACTCACTGATCGCTGACGGGCAATATCGTGACACGTCACTGGGTCGTAATACCTGGAAGTTGCTGATTGGCTCCGAGGCATCCCTACAGTTCAATTGTAACAAGGAAGGGTTCAATCCTGCCTCGCTTAAAAGAGAAAATTCCAAAGTTAGAATCGGTATCATTGCCAACGGCGAAGACAATTGCAGAAGTTGTGATTCCTGGATTGGCTTTGGCACAGGTGGGGTTTATAACGACTCCAACACATGTGGGAACGAAGCAAGTATCAATCCAGACAATGGAAACAAACAAATCAAAGCCATGGGGTACATCTTGGTTCAGTGACAAGGAAATCAATCCAACCTCCAAGAAATGGAGAAAAAAGCCATATTAAACCGAAAAGGACTTGTAAATATATAGTTGTAGCAATAGGGTTTTGAAAAGGAAGTAAGATACCGAGTCTTAAATGATCTTGTTCCATTTTTATTTCGATTTCACAAAAACCGACTTCAAAGTAGAATTTCCGATAGATAAAAACGCTTCGTTGT